TCATTCGAATATTCAGGACTTATTTCGAAACCAAACTGTACTGTATATAAATTGTTACTTTTCCAAAAAATTTTTGAAATAACCTTTCATGAGAAAAACTTTATATTTTTCTGACCTCTGTTGTCAAAAAAAATGTAACTATGTATTGCTTTGTTATCTAAATAGAATTCAAGTCGCTTACTATTAATAAAATTAGAATGTTAAGTTCAGGTTTATTTGCGTCATTCTAAACATGTGGCTGGGTACTTCAAATAATTATCTACGCAACAAGTAAAACTCCAATGGTAGCCCCCGCCAAAAAATAGACAAAAATATTCTCAACATAATTTTTATTGAACGTAAACTTAAATGGAAATATTTCTCACCACTCCAGTCCATTGACTGAAATTACACAATTTATTGTTCTTCAGTGTTCCCAGATTTTAAATATAAATATAACATATTGGAGTCATTTATTATTGAAAAAAAAAAACAGATCTAAAATTATATTAAAATGATAAAGGCATGTTCAGTGAAAATGGACGCCACAACTCTTAGAATTAGGCTAACATAACATGAGATAATGTATTTATTTAAGCCGTACATAACAATCTGTTATTTAATATTCAAGGCTAATATGACCAGCTAAGCGTCAAGACAGAACGTGTGCTATTCACAAATTAAACAACACACATATTTTACCTGTTAATAAATATTCAATATCTATTTGCCACTGATACACTAGCTCTGTGAATTCTACTCTTGGAATTTAAATTAAATTTAAAATACATTTTATGATAGTACTTAATACGTTTAAATAAAACACTTTAACGGTTTAAAACGCGATATATTAGTCATATATATAAGTTTAACTAATATATTGCGTTTTAAACCGTTAAAGAGTTTTATTTAAATGTGTACTCCTCGCGAAACATACTATAGACAGTATTTAATACTTAATACGACTAATTTTAAACAATTTGGTCAATCAATTTAAAATGGTCGAAAAGTTATCTAATATCGCACTATGATGGTGGATGCATTTACTAAGTTGCTTTTCAAAATCAAACGTAACATTATTATTATATTGACAAACAAAAATCATCTTTACTAAAATAATATATTTGTATAAATATTTTTGACCGCCTCTGTAGACAAATGGTAAATAAACGTAAGTATTGCGTTACGCGCGAGAGGTCCCTAGTTCGAATGTAATGGGAACAAAAAATCAAATTTTTTTCGGTCGGGTAGGGCTGATCAGCTACTTGCCTGTTAAAAAGAACGTATCAGTAAAACTGACACAGAAATATATTTAAGTTTAACCTTTTAAAAGAACATACAATTTCTGTTATAACTTAGTAATTCTTAGTAAACATTTGTTTGTGTTATTACAAAGTGTTTTATTATAATTTTTGCGACAAAAATGTGCTTTAGCTTAAATATAAGAATAAATAGTTACAATTGGGAAGCATGTTAAAAACGGATTTCCGTTGTACAACAATTTATTTTTATCTGTGCATAATTATTGTTTTCATCGCATAATGAACTGTTTTCAGTAGAATTAGTCATTCGACTTACTGATAAGCTTAGTTATAAGTATATGTTTTGTATGAAAATCAATACCAAATAAAATAATGTTGTTAAAATATTCTTATGTTATGCAAGTGTCATACAAGAATGGGAGGTAGTGAAAAAGTAGCTAAAAGCGAGTGGAATGTAGGAACAATTTCCACCTCTACTGAGAATTAATTTGCTAATAGGTTGTGTAAATATTTTTTTTAGATATTAATTCATATTAAGCTCAGCTATTATCTTTAGTTTTCGCGAGCAGTGCACATTTAAGTAAAACCCATGTAACTGGTTAAAACGCGAAACATTATCTTAGTAATTTATTTTTGCTACGACTAGAGATATGTTAAAAAAATATTTGCGTTAAGTCTAATTCTTTTGACAGATTATAAAAATATCAGATTATAAATCATTCGTAATTTTCAAAGTAGACATTTATACAGATGCAAAACTTAACGTAAAAAAATATATAACACATCTATTTTATTGTATGTTCTATAATACTTACACATTAAAAAAAACCTAGATAATATGTTACCATAAATGAACAAACACATATTATCATATATCATTCTTAGTCCATTAATAAGTCCAATACGAGAATTAATTAGTAATTAACTATTATTTATAAGGATATCTACTTATAACGGATACTATAATATTTATGGTAATAAACGACACGTCGCCGCCGTTTCTAATCGCGCACCTGTCAATTTGACAGCTCCACAAATTGAACTTTTTTCCCATTCGCTCTATTTGTATACGCGCATTCTATATTCTCTTGAAACTTGACGCTCTATCGCATATTTGTGGGAATAAAACGTCGGGCTGAACAGCTTATTTTTTACATTTTTTATTTATCTAACGAGCGGGTCTAGAACCGGTTCAATAGAAAGAGTATAAATAGGCAGAATCATAGATTCCACAATGGCATCGCAAGTAATTCACCATCTGCTTAGAATAAGCTGCGCTCGAACGCGGCAGCTGTCGGTGCGCTCCCATTATTTGAACTTGGAACGTAAAAAAACTGGCCACACATAATTTTACGCTCGCCAAATGGTGGGGTTCACATTCTAATTCTAAACTCGCGGCCTCGACCAATGACGGCCGAGGACGAGTTAACATGGCGGTCGTGAGAACCAGTTAATGGGCCGTTTGAATTTAGAATTGTATTTTTATTTATGGGCTCGTAACGTTAGGGTAGAATTGGCGTTTTTTTTTCTAATTTCGTTATGCAGTCGCCAGTGTGTTGGTCTTTTGTAATTTACAGAGTATCTAACGGTATTATTGATTGCCCCGACGTTAGTACTAATTGCGCTTGTTCAGGTTTATTTTTCCGTTAGGCTCAGTTGAACGTGCTGACGACAATTTGCGCGAAACACGAATAACTTTGTCGTTGCGTGCTTTAGTTTGTCATTCGTAATGGCCCCGTATTAGAAGACTTGAATAAAATATTTATTAGGAGGAGACATCAAAAGTTTTTGTTAAAATAATTTTTTACTTACAAATCTCATCATTTACCATGATATATTGGCGTTTTAAATCAACAGATAAAAAATAAAACATTTTTGTCTCCATAAAGAATTATTGTTATTAAAAATTAATGCGGCAGAACAGAAAAATACACAGAACATGCCATAAAAAAATAAATAAATTTATTAAAGCATAAATATCTGCGTCATATTTCCTTCTAAGGGCAGCCATTAATTTCGTAATAAGCGGAAAATCGTCTTAAATCACGACAGGAAAATTAGATCTAACGCAATCATTTTAAAAACATCCGTGAGAATGGTATTGCGATATACATTTATATTAGAAATATTAAATAAATCACTTTTAACGGTTTAAAACGTATAAATTATGCTACGCTGTAAAATCTTGAAAACGCTTAGTACTTGCGACCATCTATATTTTTAATACCTCCATAATGGTCGCCACCATGACTCTTACTTCTGCTGTCTTGGGGTTTTCCGTCATGATGTGCTACTTATGACTTTTCCTTGCTTGATACTAAGCAGCGGCACCTTTGAAATTCCCGGTTAGAGCGCTTTATCGCTGGATGTCGCTGAGCAGATTAGTTTTTTATTAGGATCTCCACCATATTCTGTCCTCTACAATCATGGCCGCTGACCGTTTCAAACCAAAATTGTGTCATTTTATATGCATATTATGTTTTAAATATCTAATAAAAGTCGATCAGTTATGTATTACAATTTACGATATAATTACTTAATTAAAGAACCTCTTATGGTCATACAGAAAAAAATCAAAATAATTGGTATCATTCAATAGAATAGACTTATTAAAGTTTATTACGCTGTTTAATAATCAAATCATTTATTCCACATACAATTAAACAAAAAATTACATGCATGTGGAGGGGCACTCAGCGTTTGTTGTACCTGGAAGTAGGCACAACGTCGATTTTCACTTTTCTTTATTTACTTCTGAAATACTTGCTTTACAACCAACAATACAACGCAATGATTTCCCTACGTGAAAAGCTTAGAGTTTTCAATAATTCCCAGTTGTGGCCGTTAAAAAGAGTAAACAAAATTATATAAAACACTTTTAACGGTTTCAATCATCTAACAACTACGACCCAACGTTTCGGATGCAGTGCAGCAGCCACCGTCACGGGACAACCAAAGATGGGGGCCGTCCAATGTCAAAGACAAATCCGTTACACCAGCGACATCTGTTTCTATATTCGTCTTATTTGCTATTTGCGTAAACTAGTTGGGTCCTGGCAGTCAAATCATTTTAAAAACTTCACTTTAAATTAAAATACTTAAAATAATTAAATAAAATCTAAGGAAAATACTTGGACGCACATTCGCTATAATTAGAAGTGATTTGCATTTATGTCAACACAAACGTCAATTATTTAAAACGACTGTCAATGTTATCGAATTTTCACCTTTCGTTTTCCGATCGATTTATTAATTATTATAATTAGATGTAATTAATGATTATTGGCATACCTTTTGATAATTTGAAACTATTATCCTTAAAGGAATATAGATCACACCTTAAAAAAAACTAGACTAGAACTTTGGCAATGTCCGTATGTATTTAAGATTTGCTAGCTATCCACAAACAAATATAAATGGAAGGAATAATTAAATTTACATAAAAAAAAAAACACTTTTTTGCCTATGGCGATTTTGTTCAGGCAACCTTTGATTACAGGAGATAGAAACAAAGGAACGTTGTATGACGTCGAAGATGTGCTGTCGATTTATTTTGGCTTGGCATATTCGGAAATCCACAGATTAAACTTAATGGCTTTTTGTCTGAAAACGCTGATTGAAGCCGAAAGCAATCTCGAAATATCTACAGCCTAATTATTTATTAAACCAAACTTCCCAGATTTGATCCGCAGCATATGTTTAGTATAATTTAAATTTGCAACACTTCTGACTCTCCTCATGATTGATATTATCTTCCAGAGTCCCGCATCGGAGTCGGATAGCAGTTCTGTGTCGGGTGCGAAGAGTCCAGCTGCCGCCGGGCCACCTCTTCTGCAGCATTTGCTGCAGCTGCAACTGCAGAGCCAAAACCCGCAGGCGATAGCACAGGTAAATAACATTCGTTGTGGAATTGGAAATAATAAAAAATAAAACAAATTAACCTGTAATAACTATACCTAGGAGAAAATTTAATATTCAATGACGTACAGACACTTAAATACTAACAATTTTATACAAACGAAACGTACATGTAAAAATATTTAAGCTTTTACTCGTACACTTATTAAATTTAATTAATATGTGAAGAAGCTATTTATTTATTTAAATAAATGTCTACAACATTAATTTAAGTTCATATGTAACTTTTGCGTAATTTAGTATCGCGGACTTTAGTCACAGGACAAATATATATTATACAACTATGATTTGATGATGATATGATAACTATCTGTTAATTATATTTAAATAAATAATAAATGATTTAAACAAAAAATATGTAATAATAATTTCAAAAATTGTTAACATAATTCTTACACAAATTAATTTGCGCATTTTTCGTCCTTATTGAAAATCATGTTTTTTGTTATTAGGCCACTCTGGCTCTAGCAGCCTCAATTTATACGATACAACTAAGTAAAAAGTTGTCTTGCATAAATATATCCACGAACTATATTTTTAATAATACAAAAAAACTTCTTTGGTATCGGTTAAATACTTAGGAGAAAAATGAAGACCTACCCTCTTCTTTCTGTTATGTCGGTAGAACGTAAAAGTTCATCCGCATCCACAACAGATATCGCATTTATTCTTAATGGTTGTTGTCATAATCTGTGGACCCTCGAGTCCCTTTGACGTCTAAGACCCTTTTTGACCCACATAGCTTAAACCGTGCGTTTTATTCCCCCAAGCGGGGAGCGTTCTAAGGCAAACTTACCTTGGTTTTAATTATGGTTTGGAAAGGACCAACAATTGTGGATCGACAATTATTGAGATAGAAACTTAGGTATGGAGAACAGAATAGCAGGGGAGTCGGTGATTTTGATTACTATCGCAAACTAAAGTTTGAAATTGGTTTGTTTTTATTTAATACAGTAGAACCCGATTAAGTCGATCACGCTTACGATTTTTCGTGAAATCGAAAAATCGTCTTAAGCACTATAATTGTAGTACTTTTTTTTAATTATCCCCGTACTTATATCTTAAATTTAAATTTCATAATGTGTGAAATTTCGCTTCCTCGGTAGGGCATGGGATGAACACATTTTACAGTTTCAGTGTTCAGTTTTATTTACAGGGAAATAGCTAATCAGACTTGTCCGTCAAGTCCGAAAGAAACAATCTAATGTTTCACCGAGATTCAAACCCATGAACTCTCGCGCTTAACGTCGCGCTAGGCAACACGTTTAACCATTTAACTATAGGTGATAGCAAATTTATCTTTGATTCCTCAGATTGTAAATTGATATCAAAAAAGTTTATTTACCAACTTAATTTTCTATTTTTCAACATATTGGCTATACAAACTCATCGCATTTAATACTCAATATATTTTTTATATTTTATACTCATAAGGTAATATATTGTAACAGTTGACAAATGTAAAAAGTGGTCAAAGTCACCCTCCCCACTAGTACTTAGCTGGCAAGTCGTTAAAAATAAGTAACTATTACAAAATTAAACAAAAATTAAAACATAATTTACTTCAAGTAGTATACAACCGTTATAACTGTCATTATTTATATCTGTAATTTAACTAAGACCTTATTTTGTATACCTAACGCGAAAAGATATGATATGTGATAGTTCACTATATTTTTTTGGATTATATTTAGACGAAGACTTTATATTTATACTATATTTTTTCTGAAACATTTTGGACTTTTAGATAATAAACGGATGGTGGAAAATCAGAATTCCGTATGAGTCACAAACCATTGCCTCAGATGGAAAAGCTTGACGCGATTCGATTCAATTTCGATAGCCAAAATAGGGCGACGGCGCATCTGGTTGAGATGTTATATGGGTGGGGTATTTCCATCAAATCCACGCTTATGTGTTGTCCTCTATCATTATAAAGTCTTAAGGTGTATCTGTGATACAATTGGGTCCGAATGGTCTCATTGCCATGGCCTTCCTTACTCCATCCACTATATAACCTGTGATATATCTATTAGGCTTACACGGAGATGTGTGTGCAGTTCCAACAGATGATAGCTGCGTTGGCTGCGCTAGGCACAGGGCTGGTGCCGCCGGCGCTGCCCCAGGCCTGGATGATGCAGAGGCTGGCTGCGGCGAGACCACCCTTGGATAGGTGAGTGTTTTTAAATAAAAAAATAAAATAGACACACAGTATATGTACATAAGTTAGCTTAAAGATATTTATTGTTTGTAACTTGGTCTTTCAAGTCTACTAGACTAGTCCTCGACGCAGGCTTGCCCTAGGACTATACGAAATAAATTATGTGCCAACACTATATAAAATCGTAACTAAGCTTTAGCCATTAATAATTTTATGTTTACTAATAAATAATATAAGCGGGACACAAATCCACTCCCCCCCACTACATTGCCTGGCGGGTGGGGTCGGTAAAGACTCGATTCCTTCAAAAAAAAACGTTATAAGAAGGTACGTACTATTCCACTATTGAGACTGATCGAGGCTTAGTTAAAGAAATTTTTCGTTAAATATTTAATATTTAGGTAAGAAAACGGCGGTGCCTCTTCTAAATAAAATACTTTTAACGGTTTAAAACAAAGATGCTAAATGTGTTTTACTTAAATGAGTACTAGTCGCGTAAACTACAGATAATAGTCGTATGTGCGTTGTCGAAATACAAGTTTCAATTTATCAATTTATTACATGACTGTGTGAAATAAACTCCTCTTTACTGGAAATTAAAAACAAAGTTAATAAACCAATTATATCGGTCTATTTACGAGCCGTTTTGTTTCGCTTTAAATTCAAACACGGCATGTTTATTCTACAGTGATTCGTTAGCCATAGAAACGTTTGACCCACTTAGCACCGCTATAAAATATCAATAATTATTTTAAATTATAAAGCAAAGCCACAGTAAACTGAAATCTTAATTATAAAAGACGCGTGACCTGATTCCTTTGATGTGGAGCGTTTTAAAAATTTAAGCTGTTTTAATAGTTTTAAGCTGACATATCTATAAAGTTGCGACTTGAAGAGATGGCTGAATCTCAAGATGACATCGGACACTAATTGAAGTATTAAATATTCGCTTTGAATCTTGTATTTGGTAGAGAGATAATAATGTCGTATAAACGACAGGTTTCTTAAATAAAAAACTCGAACCTTTTATTTTTCACTTCTTTAAAACGCGATACTTATTAGTTATCTTAGTTACAATTAATGTAAACTGTGAATTGCGTTTCGAATACTTTGCAGCAGTGATTATTATACATCTTTTAATAAGTTACCGAATATATTTCGTATTTGAAACCGTTAAAGGTGTTTTATTTCAATGTGTTAACTTATTGTACGTAGTTTACGAAATCCTACGCAAAACGAAAGGATTTTTCTTTTACAATAATGAAACAATACCTGAGTAGTCATATTCAAATATATTTTTTTTTATGTAAGCTTTTATAGATGCATAGAATAAGTGTCTATGTTAAAAAAAGGTATATCAGCCTCGTGTATTTTATATATTTATATACCAATTATATTCTCATTTCAAGGATCTAGAAAAGTATATATGTTAAAATAAATTTAATTTTAAAATCACTTAATTTCAGTTAAATATGACTCTCTTATCCAATTGCTAATAAGTATCTTATCGTTTTGATCGAATCTTAAAGGACTAGTTTACAAACATTAACAATTCAACATTTTGCGATGATAAAATTATTAATGAAATCCCTTCTAACGGCATTGAAGTGCTTAATATCAACTTGTATTTTATTAAACTCTATAAATCAGTTGAAAATCTGAAGCTTCAAGGATTTGGGAGTATTTTAACTATTATGTTGTTATCTACGGTGCGAAGAACTTAGGAAATACTATCTATATATATATAGGAAATACTACTATATAATACTAGATGATCCGGTAAACGTATTGTTTGCAAGATTAATGTTATTATATTGATACAAGTCTAACAAATAATTGGTAATGATACATTAATTTCGAGCTAATTTGATAACTATAGAGACGGTTCTCGCGAATTAATCTTTAAGATAGACAGTGTCGCGGACTTGTTTACCATTAAAAGAAGAAACAATCTTTCAAACATATGTAACTCATAAACTTAACGCAAGCTTTTGAAGCTTGCGTTAAGTTTATGACAAGGATTATATGTCCCTTTTTAATATTTTTTTATATCTTCTTCGCTCTTAATATGCCAGCCTGATGTTATGTATATAGCCTAAAGCCTTCGGCGATATTTTTCAATTTGTCGTCGTCCATAATACAGCGTTCAGACAAACAAACTCTTTAGATTTACTAGTATAGTCAGGAAAAACCAAACCCTATCTTATCTATTACGGCTTTCCTTCGTTCGCCTCCAAGGTCATTTGGTCCCGGGTTCATGACAAACGACGGGTTAACTTAATTCGGTCTTCCAGTTTCCATTCCTTTTGGAGGTCTTCAACCATTTTAATAAAGAAACGGCAAGAATATAGTGGAATCCTTTAACAAAGTTGAACTGTCGAACCTATAAATAAAAGCGGTAAACAGTAGCGTAGTTAGGCGGACCGGACCACTTACGTGGAGGTCTTCCTAATCCTAAGACTCAGGAAAAAATCGGGTCCTCGTGCCATCTTTTAGCATAACTTGAATTAAATGAACCTCCAAAGTTATAAATATCAACAAGAACGTTATAAAATCCTTTTCTTCTACGGTTATATCTTTTCAATTATACGGTTAGAGGGCTCCTAAGTTCTAGGGCCCTGGTGCCTACGATAGTTACGCCACTGCCAGTAAAGCAGACATAACGCATACAGAAAAACAGAGTAACAATTCTAAGTTCTTCTTCTTGTGTCGAAATTGTTTCCCAAGTCTAAAGTAAAGCATACAGTAGTAATTTTTAGTGTTCAATTCCCGTTTAAAATAATCTATTTAAACGTTAGAAAAATACAGTATACAGTATTTACACATTGTGAATAAAATTTACCAACGCGTAAATACGGTATATGAAAGAAATCTATTTATTTGTCCCTCGTTTTTCCGCCCTTACAACTGAACCAACTGTTAACAACCGTACCGTGTCATTATTGTATTTATTAGGTTGGTAACGACTAGGGAATAAATAGATACTCAATCGTATGAATAACGGAGTAAATAAATAAAACACTTTTGTCAGTTCAAAACGCGTCAAATAATTCAAGTAAATTTAACTAGGGCGGGCCGTTTCGCTGCAGCCGTGGTGTTTTAAACCGTTAAACACGTCATGTGAAATAATAATTTTGATAAAGTTTGAGGACATTAATAAACTTCCCTTGTTGTTAAACGTGATGGCATTATATTATTTAAAAAAAATATTTAGATAAAAAAAATGTTCATGTCCCGCCCGTGTCATAAGTTTTTTCAACCCAAGTATATTGTTAATGTAGGTTTAAAATACCATTATGAGTAACATGGGAAGTTTTTAAAACCGATATATTTTAAGAACCAACAATTTTACATGTGTTCTACAAACACCCATTTTGTTTAGGCCCAATGTCCCACCGGCGGGATCTATTAAATGGCTTTGTCTGCTTTATATATACAAAAAAACATAGCCAGTAGTTGGCTCACTAAGCCTCGTTTGATTCTCAAGGATTCTAACTGGATACGGCACAAGACGAGGTTTTTCTTTATCTAAACTTGATTTTGATCCGTTACCTCATACCCGTTTATTCTAAGCAAGGACGACTGCTGTTTGAGACTTATCTCAGTGTATCTGTGCTTTTAAATTACAAGCAAATGATCGTGTCATTATTTCCGTAGGAATTATGTTTGTTACGAATATTTGTTTCAATGAAACACTTTTAAAACTGATTAAAACGCGAAATATATTCTGTAAGTTTTTAAACTATGTATTTAGAATTGTAACTACGGCCCGACATTTGACTAATTTTTTTACATTTAAAACCATACAAGTGTTTTACTTAATTGTTACAATGTAGCAGACAAAAACGTAATAATAAATTTAAAAAAATGGAAAATTACTGCTGCATATCATCTGAAACGCCGGCCGTTAAATAAATGGTAAATAAGTAAACTAATACATTCCTCATTTTAAACCGTTTAAAGTGTTCTATTAAAATGTGTTACAATACTTAACTCCAATCTATTTAAAAAATAACCAACTACACACTAGCTTAGTCCTTACCCATTTAGCAACCAAGAATGTACAAATTCATTTTTGACAAAATGTTAGTCACTTTTCAGCGTCACTACTATAAAATGTCCATGATTTACATATTTTATTTTATCGACGTTCAGATTTATTACTCCCAGAAAGGTCAAACGCTGTGTTCTTAGACGTTTTGATAGAACTGATATTTAGATTATGCTAACATTGACAGTTCTTTCCATAAGTTATAACGCTGGTTAAATATTGGTTATATCTTTATCTACAACAATGTTACAATAAAACACTCTAACGGATTAAAACGCGATATATATTAATTAAACCTTTTTGAGAATTATTTAACTAAGGGCCGACGTTTCGCTTTGCAGCAGCCGTGGTCACGAGGAACGTGGTCTTTGGTAGGAAAATAATTAAATGTATGGAATACAAGAAAAAATGGTTTACCTAGGTATGTTCTCAATTTAAAAGGAATAATACGCAAAATATATTTAAACAATTTTTATTCAAGTTAGCAAGCTTGACTAATATTTATTTTTTTCTATTTTTTATGGTTCCACTTGGTTTCTCTTTTAATGACCGAACAGATTTTAATTAAAACAGCTGAACTAGCTTACCTTTACGTCATAATAATACCCTAATTCGTACACACACACTTAGGTATTATCTATGGTTTACGCGAGTAAAAAATACAATAGTATATAAGTGTATACATTTAAATAAAACACTAAACAAATTCTTTAATATAACCATAATTTCAAAATGATATAAATAATAATAAAATGAAACAATTTTAACTGCTTTAATTACGACCCGACGTTTTGAATTGCTTTGCAGCAACGATGATGATCGGAAAAACCTAGGCATATCGGTGATGATATTGAGATATATATTTTGCGTTTAAAATAGTTAAAAGTGTTTCATTTAATTGCAATATACGAAATTTTAAAATATCGTTTTTCTAACTTAATTTTACGCAACGTTAGAATAA